CCGTCATTTCCACATCCATCTCGGAAATAGATGAGTTTTCGCTATTATCGCTAATTTCAATGACTTCGTCGTCCATGCGTGGCAATTTCAAAGTAAAAGAACGACAGCAGTCAGAGTCCAGTGCTTGCCAAACGTTGTTATTTGTCAATTCCCCTTTTCTTTTCTGACGTTTTGCTTTTGCGTCAATGGTACGTAATTGTGCACGCGTGTGCGTGTGTCTGTGTGTGCACCTGCGTATGTATGTGTGTAGCACGCGCGCCGTGTTAAAAATCCAAGATTTCTGGTGCCTTCGATTCGATTTACTTTTTTACGCCTTTTCCTCCTGATCACTTTGGCTCCGCTTTCAGTGCACGCTGCTGCCCAATTAGTTGTTAATTTCGAAATTTGTATTTTGAATAGCCGAACGAACCGAGCAGACGAAAAAAGCGTGTGATGCGGAGTAGTGGTGGAACCGAACTAGTGGTGTGCCAAACGCACAGCACAAGAGTATAAATATATCGATATACTTCTGATAAATAAATATTTTTATCTTCATGTTTCTTATTGGCTCACTAATACCACTGATATCGTAATATTTTATACTAAGCAGCTTAATAAAAACTCAAGTCAGCCAAGCGCTGCGTGTTGGAGGTAATTCGAAATTAGATTGGGGCGAATCACTTGGGATCATAATGATTTGGGGCTGGAAGCCTGCTAAGCTGAACATCTGCTGGATGTGAACTCGGCTATCGCGAGCACACTTATCAGCTGATTCCCAAGCGGCGATTCAGTGTGTTTACCAACTTAAAACTTGATGAATGACTTTCTTTGTGTTCGCGTTTCTATTGCGCAGTGCACTTTCTTCAAAGCAGCTTGTGTCCTTTTTACAAGTTTGTATTTGTAGATTGTGAAGATTGTAACAATGGACGACAACGGCATGTTTATTCTCAATCCCGACTGTATTTTGGAGATAATGAAATACGTGATTACTGATTGCCAATCAAATAAGCGCCATGTCGAAAAGGGTACTCTTGTCTACGAGGATTTAATAAACCTTGTTCTGGCCCACGAATCCTTCCTCGAACTGCTTGCGGATAATCATAAGATACTTTACAAGGATCTTGAGTTGGTACTAGCGTGCAGGACCATAAAGCTGCTTATAGATCTTCGAGTGAATAAGCAATCGAACGACGGAGGATTTTTTTGGAGATCCTTTCTGGAATCGGTCAGTGAACGAAGTCCGTTCGATCTTCAACTGTCTTTCCAAGGCTTTTGCGTACAGATTCGAATAACAGGTAGGTCGCATCTTGAACTCCTAAGGCCTCTTAAACTTAAATAGTATTAAATATTATTTAAATTGTATTTTAAGGCATTTCGAACCACGAGACGTTAAATTTTGACTTCAAGCTCACTGCAGACGCATTGGCTGACATTTTCCGCTCCAACCAAAATCTAACCAGGTTGAGCTTTGGAAACACTGAAGTGCCTGGAAGTTTTTTCGATATCATACGCCATTGCGCCAATCTCGAAGAACTGAGATTCCCGCTGAATCCAGAGGTCGTGGCATCCCAATATGAACCAATAGTGAACTTGCCCAATTTGAAAACCATTTTAGTTACTGGCTTACAAAGAAGCGAGTCGGAATCGCTGTTTTTTAGCATTTTAAGGAAGTTGCACAGGCCAACGAGTCTTCCACCTTTGACACTAAGTATCGAAGATTACCTAACTGACCTTCATCGACCTGTAACGTTTGCCACTTTCAATTCATTACGATGTTTGCGTGTTGACGAACCCTATGCTTATTATGAACGAAATGAATGGGAATGGAGTGCAGTTTTTAAGGCCGAATACGATTTATCCGCAATGGAAGACGATAGCAATTCAATAGAGGATTCTCTTGTCACCATAAGATTGGGTGACGGTGTGAAGATCAAGTTTATCAGATCTGAAGGTAAACTTGAGTTAAAGTTACACGACAAGTCAGACATCAGTCAAATGGGACCTTTATCCAAACTGCCCAAGCTCACTCGTTTGGTAGTACAAAAGAAGGCGAATAGTTTGGAAAAGCCCGATTCACTTGCCGAATTCCTGCGATCAATGGCTCCAAAGGGGTCATTTGCTCTGAAGTCATGCAAAATAAATTATGGACGATTACATCAGGCTGAGATTGAAGAGCTTGCGAAAATAAAGTCACTTCGATTCCTCGCATGCCACTTACACGACGGGCCTGATATCGACTTCAGTCAGATGACTAACTTGCAGCACATGAAAGTAAATTTCCGCCAAAATAATTATTACATTTCTTCAGATGTAATCCATAATCTGCTAAGCAAATGCCAGGTGCAAGCAACCATTTATAGTGACAATGTTACAATTACCCTATTGAGGAATAAAAAACGTCTAGAGATTGATCTGTTCAATTGTGAAGACTCTTATTTTGCTATTCCCCTTGCCAAACTTAAGGACATTAAAACCCTCGTTATTGCAGGACAACAGGATGTGGATTATATTAATACGATCTTCGATGCTTTCGCAGCCAATTTAAGTACGATCGAAGAATTGGATTTGTCCGATCTGGAAGCTGCATACTGTCCCCGAATAGAATGGGTGAATTTCGCAAATATTTCCAAAGTGACCGATATTCAAACCATTAGGACACTTAGATGCTGCTTAACGGATGTGACTGGTGTTGAGAAATTGGCAGATCTAAGCCAATTGGAGAACTTGGAAATACACCATGCTGGAGATGGCAATCTTATCGAACTTTTCACAAAACTTGCTGAGAAAAATACAATTAAATGTATAAGTACTGGAAAACTCAACCACGAAGAGGTTTTAAAGATAACCCAAATGAGGTCGATAAGAACTTTGTTGTGTCGTTTATCATACGAGGATGATCTTCAATTCCTTGCGGAGCTAGCAAACTCAAGTGTCGAAGAATTATTTATTTGTGAATATAATTACACAATGCGGGATACAACCCCTGTGGTTTTGGGGACAGCGTTATTTAATCCATATTCATGGAAAAAAAAACTGGATTTTGTTGAAGCCGTTGAAGTTACAAAAATTACAGGACTGAAGAGATTATGTGCTGGTTTTAATGATCCGGAGAGTGCGCAAGTATTAGATAGACTACCTCTCCTAGAGGACCTAACTATTGGCAAAATTCCCTTGGAAAATCCGCTTAGGGTTCTAGCACTCAAGTCACCATCGACTCTCAAAAAATTGGAGCTATACGAATGGATTGGCTGCTGCGAATGTGAATATTTAAGTCAAATCGAAACATTGGAATCCTTAACGTGTTCTTTTCGTAATGAGACGGGCATAGAGCATTTGGCCAATATACAAAACCTTAAAGAATTATTTATACACAGTACTCAAGTTTCGCTTGGTAATCTTTACCGTGCCTTTGCCCAAAAAAGTGATTCCAAGTTGGAGAAACTTCAATGTCCAGTCACATGTTCTGATGAGATGCGTGAAATATCTCAGATTAAATCACTCAAAGTACTAATTATTTATTGGAAAAAAATGTGCGATAATTTATCAGACCTCAGTCGATTATATGAACTTACATCGTTGAGTTTAGTTGATTGGTTTGGAAGTACGTCAAATAGCGATAGCATTCTGACAATTCTGCAGTATTGTCAAAAGCTCGATCGGGTCGACTTGGGATTATCGTTTGGGGTGGCTTTGGACTTGGTCAGCCAAGTTAACAAGGTTCTGAGATCCATTAGAGATCCCGCTAATCAGAAACCGCTACAACTGAATATTTTAAGTAGATCGGTTTACCCGAAAATCCATGTAAGTAATCCCGTGTAACAGGGTTTTATAATTATTTTAAATGGTATTCTTGCAGGTGGAAGACATTGATGAGTCAGTCTTGAACGTCTCGTATTCGTACGAAAAAAACAGTGAAGGTGACGAAATAGAATTTAATAGTGATAGCGAGGATTCAGACAACTCTGATTCTTTTGAGTATGAATAGTTAAAAATAAGTTTAAAAAACACACAAAATCTGAATATTAAAACGCACTTCATACTGATCCAGCACATCGCTCTTGCCGCAGAAGAACTGGGCGGCATTTAGGAAGAATATCTGCTCCGGTGGCAAATGGGTGAAGTCCAAACGGGTTCGATTCTTCGCCTTTCTGGAGTAAGCAGAGAGGCGAGTTCTAGACCAGCAATATCACTCATGATTGCATCGATGTTCTGTCCATTGCGTGACAAGCAAGTGACTCCTTCATCCAAACGATGCGATCTAAATCGTTGATTGTTCCTAGTGTCAAAGGCGCTCATCAAGTGACGGCCCAAAATAAATCCCATCAGGCTGTATTTGAAAACATCTTCGCTTTCCGGCTGGAAAAATGGCTCTTGCAGTAGCCCAAGTGGGAGAACAATCACATTGGGGCGAAACACATAGTACGGGATAGCCTCCCCAAACTTGTAGGAATTGCTTTGTGAGAAAATACAAATTAATCACACTCCATTGCTTTGCTGACAGAACATAGACCTATGCGCTTGCAAAGTCAAATTTCATTAGGTCATCAGATCAGATATTATTTATTCAAGCACGCAAAAAGCTTTTAAAGCGAAAACCTTACGTTGTCCAAAATCAAACTTCCCGCTCGCAGTACCGACGCCTTCCAAAAGCTGCATGTTTTATAACTAATTCCTCGCTGGTGAAAGCAGGCTGTTATGTCATAACACAACACGTGGATGATAGAGCCGTTACCTTTTTGTTGTCCAACAGGGGTGTGCAAAACGCACCGCACGAGAGTATAAATATCGATATACTTCCGAAAAATAAATACTTTTATCTTCATGTTTGTTAATGGCTCTAATACCAGTGATATCGTAATATTGTATACTAAGCAGCTTAATAAAAACTCAAGTCAGCCAAGCGCTGCGTGTTGGAGGTAATTCGAAATTAGATTGGGGCGAATCACTTGGGATCGTAATGATTTGGGGCTGGAAGCCTGCTAAGCTGAACATCTGCTGGATGTGAACTCGGCTATCGCGAGCACACTTATCAGCTGATTCCCAAGCGGCGATTCAGTGTGTTTACCAACTTAAAACTTGATGAATCACTTTCTTTGTGTTCGCGTTTCTATTGCGCAGTGCACTTTCTTCAAAGCAGCTTGTGTCCTTTTTACAAGTTTGTATTTGTAGATTGTGAAGATTGTAACAATGGACGACAACGGCATGTTTATTCTCAATCCCGACTGTATTTTGGAGATAATGAAATTCGTGATTACTGATTGCCAATCAAATAAGCGCCATGTCGAAAAGGGTACTCTTGTCTACGAGGATTTAATAAACCTTGTTCTGGCCCACGAATCCTTCCTCGAACTGCTTGCGGATAATCATAAGATACTTTACAAGGATCTTGAGTTGGTACTAGCGTGCAGGACCATAAAGCTGCTTATAGATCTTCGAGTGAATAAGCAATCGAACGACGGAGGATTTTTTTGGAGATCCTTTCTGGAATCGGTCAGTGAACGAAGTCCGTTCGATCTTCAACTGTCTTTCCAAGGCTTTTGCGTACAGATTCGAATAACAGGTAGGTCGCATCTTGAACTCCTAAGGCCTCTTAAACTTAAATAGTATTAAATATTATTTAAATTGTATTTTAAGGCATTTCAAACCACGAGACGTTAAATTTTGACTTCAAGCTCACTGCAGACGCATTGGCTGACATTTTCCGCTCCAACCAAAATCTAACCAGGTTGAGCTTTGGAAACACTGAAGTGCCTGGAAGTTTTTTCGATATCATACGCCATTGCGCCAATCTCGAAGAACTGAGATTCCCGCTGAATCCAGAGTTCGTGGCATCCCAATATGAACCAATAGTGAACTTGCCCAATTTGAAAACCATTTTAGTTACTGGCTTACAAAGAAGCGAGTCGGAATCGCTGTTTTTTAGCATTTTAAGGAAGTTGCACAGGCCAACGAATCTTCCACCTTTGACACTAAGTATCGAAGATTACCTAACTAACCTTCATCGACCTGTAACGTTTGCCACTTTCAATTCATTACGATGTTTGCGTGTTGACGAACCCTATGCTTATTATGAACGAAATGAATGGGAATGGAGTGCAGTTTTTAAGGCCGAATACGATTTATCCGCAATAGAAGACGATAGCAATTCAATAGAGGATTCTCTTGTCACCATAAGATTGGGTGACGGTGTGAAGATCAAGTTTATCAGATCTGAAGGTAAACTTGAGTTAAAGTTACACGACAAGTCAGACATCAGTCAAATGGGACCTTTATCCAAACTGCCCAAGCTCACTCGTTTGGTAGTACAAAAGAAGGCGAATAGTTTTGAAAAGCCCGATTCACTTGCCGAATTCCTGCGATCAATGGCTCCAAAGGGGTCATTTGCTCTGAAGTCATGCAAAATAAATTATGGACGATTACATCAGGCTGAGATTGAAGAGCTTGCGAAAATAAAGTCACTTCGATTCCTCGCATGCCACTTACACGACGGGCCTGGTATCCACTTCAGTCAGTTGACTAACCTGCAACACATGGTAATCCACTTCCGCCGAAATTATCACATTACGTCAGATGTAATCCATAATCTGCTAAGCAAATGCCAGGTGCAAGCAACCATTTATAGTGAAAATGTTACAGTTACCCTTTTGAGGAATGAAAAACGTCTAGAGATTCATCTGGACAGTTGTAAAGACACTGATTTTGCTATTCCCCTTGCCAAACTTAAGGGTATTAAAACACTCGTTATTTCTGGGCGACGGGACTACGATTATATTAATACGATCTTCGATGCTTTTGCAGATAATTTAAGTACGATCGAAGAATTGGATTTATTCGATCTGCAATCATTAAATTTCCATGTAGAAAATGTAAGTTTCAAAGATATTTCCAAAGTGACCGAAATCCAAACCATTAGAACACTTAGATGCTGGTTATCGGATGTGACTGGTGTTGAGAAATTGGCAGATCTAAGCCAATTGGAGAACTTGGAAATACACCATGCTGGAGATGGCAATCTTATCGAACTTTTCACAAAACTTGCTGAGAAAAATACAATTAAATGTATAGGTACTGGGAAACTCGCCCACGAAGAGGTTTTAAAGATAACCCAAATGAGGTCGATAAGAACTTTTGTATGTCGTTTATCACGCGAGGATGATCTTAAATTCCTTGCGGAGCTAGCAAACTCAAGTGTCGAAGAACTAACTGTTTTGGATTATCATAACTCAATGCGAGAAACACCCCCTGTGTTTTCTACAAAACAGACAAGGACACTTCGGCCCTTATATACATGGCAAAAAAAACTGAATTTAGTTGAAACCGTTGCAGTTACTAAAATGACAGGACTGAAGAGATTACGTGCTGGTTTTATTAATCCGGAGTGTGCGCAAGTATTAGATAGACTACCTCACCTAGAGGACCTAACTATTGGCTATATCGACATGCCACGCTCTACTCCTTTGGAAAATCCGCTTAGGGCTCTAGCACTCAAGGCTCCATCGACTTTAAAAAAATTGGATCTATACGAATGGATTGGCTGCTGCGAATGCGAATGTTTGACTCAAATCGAAACATTGGAATCCTTAACGTGTTCTTTTCGTAATGAGACGGGCATAGACCATTTGGCCAATATACAAAACCTTAAAGAATTATTTATACACCGTACTCAAATTTCGCTTAGTAATCTTTTCCGTGCCTTTGCCCAAAAAAGTGATTCCAAGTTGGAGAAACTTCAATGTCCAGTCACATGTTCTGATGAGATGCGTGAAATATCACAGATTAAATCACTAAGAACTCTAAATATTGATTTGACAAAAAAGTGTGATAATTTCTCAGACCTCTGTCGATTATATGAACTAAAGTCGTTGAGTATAGTTGATAGCTATGGATGTAAATTAAATAGCGATATGTTCCTGCCATTTTTTCAGTATTGTCAAAAGCTCGAGCTGGTCGATTTGGAATATTGTTATGGTGTGGCTTCAGACTTCGTCAGCCAAGTTAACAATGTTCTAAAATCTGTTAGAGATTCCGCAAATCAGAAACCGCTACAACTCAGTATTTTTAGTGAATCGCTTTACCCGAAAATCCATGTAAGTAATCCACGTGTAACAGAGTTTTTAAATTATTATAAATGGTATTCTTGCAGGTGGAAGATATTGATGAGTCAGTCTTGAACGTCTCGTATTCGTACGAAAATATCGTGGGCTATTACGAAATAGAATTTAATTCTGATAACGAGGATTCAGAGAAATCGGAGTCGAGTTCCTCGGAAGTCGAATAAGTACATGTTACTCAGCTTACTCTTTTATTCGAGCCGTACGTTGCCCAAAATCAAACTTCCCGCTCACAGTACCGTCGCCTTCTAAAAGCTGCATGTTGTAGAACTAATTCCTCGCTGACTGCTGTGTCATATTCAGACATAACACGTGGATGATAGAGCCGTTACCTTTTTGTTGTTAAATTATGGGAGGGGACTCCCCGCCAGATTTTTCTTTTAAATATGAAAGATATTCTAGTTTGAACATAAACATTTCGATTAGATAAATTTTTGTACTTATCGGAATAAAAATAATATATATACATACATATATATTTGTATATATCGCCATACAAAATAATATACAATATTAATTTTATACAATTATTACAAAAGTTATAATATATTATTATAACATTTATATTAATATTATATTAATTATATTATATTATAATTATAATTATATTATCTTATTATATTAATATTAATATTATTATACAATTAATATTAAACAAATTAATTGTGCGCAAGATAGCATTAAAAATTATTCCTTAACTAAATTTTATTCACAATCAACAGCTTTAAAAAAAGCAAGGAAATATTTTCGGCTTAAAATGACACAAATAAAAACATGTCATATATGTACATATTTATTTTTGCATCTAAATAAATAAATATTTTTTTTTAATGACATCTTTGAAATTAACTTATGTAATAATAAACTATTTAAATTACAATAATGTTTTTGTTTTAAATTCTTTAAAGACCAAAAACAGTTTCTAAAAGCTCTTGGAACTCCGCATTTGCAATCAATTTAATATTAAATGGTTGCTGTCACCTAAAAGACAGTAGGAGAGGAAATCCACAAAAGAAAAGCCCGAAACGAACAAGAAAAATTCATACGTCATGTGCAAACAAAATACATAACGACGTATTCCAATCCCATATAGAAAGAAGTATGTACATGGAACTCTCAAATGAAGAGAACGTAATGCGATTGGTTCGGCGACGGAATGGCAATCGTTATGGAGAAGAATCGCAGAAGGCGAAACGAAGACAAATAATAGAAAAATGACCAAGCTCTCAGATATATTGTACATAAACATATAGAGGTGGCAAAGGTGCGATGCCAGAATTTATAAGCAATGCTATTTATAAGAGCACGAAAAACGAACGCCCCTCAGGCGAAAAAAACCCCATTATCGTATTTTATGTAAGTGCAAGAAGGATGCCCTGCCATAGTGCTGCTCGCCTCTGAATCAGCAACACAAAAAGAAATACAAATAAACGGGACTCGAATGGAAACGAATGGGAAACGGAAAACGGTTGACAATAAAAAAATCAAAGCTTGCGATAGAAAGAGATAGCAACACTGCCCCGAAAAGTATAATTCGTTGAAAGTTTGTCATTTACTTTTAATTGAAATTAAAGTGCTTTTTGTCAAAGACAGCTGCGCAAACTCCAAGTAAAGACATTTTTTTACTTTGCTCTTCTGGCAATGCATTTATTATAATTTACTTTGCAACAGAAAATGCCAAAACAATTGTCATTTGTTTATATAAGGCGTCGCCCATGGGAGCGAGCGAGAGCGCAAACATATACGACTGGCTATGCAAATATGTTGCTCTCTCGCTCGCTCATGTTTATTGGTTGCAGCCCACCTGAGCGTGCAACAGAGATGGCGAGATAGTGTGAGAGAGAGGGCTCAGGCTGAAACGAAATGAAATTGAAATGAAAAACGGTTTTTTTTCCCCAATGGGCAAGAGAGAGAGAGAGCGGGAGGATTTGAAGAACACAACACGCACAAACGAATTGAAAAAATAAATAAAACGAATGCGAGAGAGAGAGAGCGATTACGTTTGTCATTGTATTTTCGGGGTTGCACACAGAAATATACACAGATACAAATACACCGATCAATCGCACATACCACTCCCCTTTTTGGCCTGGTATTGGTGTAATGCGAGACGTGGACGGGCAACAGACATTCGTATTCGTACTCGTACTCGTATTCGTATTCTGGTTTTGCACAATCGCAGATACAGATACACCAGCTCGCTCTCACAGGCACAGATATGCATGCACACACACACATGCACACTCGTCTCGGCCGACAGCGCTGCCGGCGTCGCTGCCACGAAAATCCGAAAGGAATCGAATTGAAACTCGCCTTTCATTACGAATTTGTCATTCGCAAGAGAAGGTAATGCAATAAAACTTTTGCGCGCGCATTTCTCTCAGTACATAACGGTAGCGCTTCGTGTGTTCGTGTGTGTCTGTGTGGGTGGGCTAAAAAAATAGCACTCGTTAGCGACCGCTCGCTCGCTCACACGCAGTCGTCGCCTAGCACCATCTCGCTCTCAGTCGATTCCCATTCGAATGCAATTCGTTTCGTTGATTTCTCCGATTCGCGAACGAGAGGGGGAAGAAGAACCAGTCGAAGGCGAAGAAGCAGAGGCAGCGACGCCACCGTCGCCGTCGCAGCGGAGTAGCTGCCATCTCTCAATCTCTGAGTGACAATCCGTCGGTACGGTACTCGAAAACGGACACAGCTCCGGTTTCCAAAACTGCAGTACGAAAACGGTTATTCGAACTCGATTAACACACGCGGGCAATCGGAGTAAATAACTTGAAATATTGAAAGTACATACATATATTTCACAGCGAAAATTCAAAAATCAAAGTGCGCGAGTGCCTTGTGTGAGTGCTGTTGAGTTTTAAAATTACTTTTAGACCTCCTTAAAGGTAAATCTATGTTCTATATCGAATCATTCAAATAGGACTGAATAGGTATACTTATGCAAATGGGTAGTTAGAATCCAAATGAATTTCATTGCCTTGCTTTTCACATAAGTAAATTAAAGTACCGCTTGGGCAAAACGTTAGTTCAGTTTATATGATATTATTTTTGGGATTTAGATATTCATCTGGTCTCAATTGTTGAACTAAAACTGTAAGTGTTTGTTTTTTTTTTCTATTAGCAAGGAATAATTCCTTATTTGTAACATTTTGTAAATCTAAAACGAAAGTTAGCATATCAATTTACAAAAGAATGTATCTATAGAAACTTATAACATCCTTATTATTTTTCACAATATCAAAATAACGCCATATTCCACTAATCATTTCAAGTTTAATGGCTATACAGAAAATCACAAGAGCCAAAACGTTTGACCATTATTTGCAGGTCTGAACTTAAGTTTATTATTATACAACTCACAGAAATATTAAGAATGTAAAGTCAATAATAAGCGGATGCGAATATACGAGGCACGAGGCTTTTAGAATTTGCATAGAGAAGCCTAATAAATAATTAAAAATGAATTAAGAGTTCATTAATTATATATCTTCCTCTCACCATCTCTTTCTATTTCTCTCTTACTCTGTGTCAATTTTTTGTCACGATAGAAAAGAAAAACGCCAAATTAACGAATCGATTAAAAAGTAAACAAACAAAAGTGTCGGCCATGATGAAGTATGGATTCTGTGACAAGTGAACAGAGTGAAAATAACAACAATAAATCGGGCGCAATAAATAATAATAACGCAATAAATAGTGGTATTGAAAGAGCCGCGAGCAAAATGAACACCACCGCCATGTTGATGCATCACCAGCAGCAGCAGCAGGCGGCCGCAGCAGCAGCAGCAGCAGCAGCCGCAGCAGCCCAGCAGCAGCAGCAACACAATGGACGCGATGGCAGCAATAGTTCGCGTGGTGCCAACGAGGATCGTCCAAACGGCCGGAGTTCGCACACAGGACGAGGATCCAGCTGCTCGCCGGCCAGCTCCCCAAGTCGTCATCCCAGTGCCGTGAGTCCGGTTAGCTCGCTCAACCACTCCATGATGCAGCAGATGCAGCAGCAGCAGCAGCAGCAACAGCAGCAACAGCAGCAGCAACAGCAGCAGCAGCAGCAGCAACACCATCAGCTTAGCCCCCCGCCACATGGAATGCCATCGGGCAACGGTTTGCCGACGGGTCTGCCACCCAGAATGCCACATGGACTGCCGCCCCATTCGCTGGGGCTACTCAACTCCCTGCAGATGATGCACCATGCCTCCCCCTTGGAACTGATGGCCGCCGCCCATCACCATGTGCCACCCAGATCGTACAATTCACCGCCGCCGATCTCCACCTCGGATCCCAGTGCCAACGAGTGCAAACTGGTGGAGTATCGGGGTCAGAAGGTCGCCGCATTCATAATCAGCAACGAAACCATGCTCTGCCTGCCGCAGGCCTTTGAACTCTTCCTGAAGCACTTGGTCGGCGGCCTGCACACGGTCTATACCAAACTGAAGCGCCTGGACATCGTACCGCTCGTCTGCAATGTGGAACAGGTGCGCATATTGCGCGGCTTGGGCGCCATCCAGCCGGGCGTCAATCGCTGCAAGTTGCTCTGCTGCAAGGACTTCGACATCCTCTACAGGGACTGCACCACGGCCAGGTACGAACGAAACCGAAACCGAAGCAAAACCAAAATCAAAATCAAACTCAAAAGGCATACGCATTGGGGGCAGCTCCACACGCCATTGGCGTTTTTTTTTTTTTGTATTATTTCAAGGCTTTATTTTCTATTTCACTCATCTGTGGTGCACTCAGCAAGGGCAGTTCTTGTTGGGAATTTGCATTTTTAAATTAAACAAGTGCATTTTTGTTTTAGCAGAACAAGCAACAGTAATGTGAGATAACTTAGAGAGTTGAATTGGGTTTTTAGTTGTTATGTTGCATATTATTACAAAGCAGTGATGTCAATCGCTGATTTATTAACTTGGTTTCCAATGTAAACTGTCGAATTAATTTTCGAATTTCTGGCCATTTGATTCGCAAAGTGCATGCGCCCAGTTCGGGGTTTGCACTGCAAAATTTTCTCATTTCCGGTTTCCGCTTTAGCCAACTTACGCACTCAACTACCGCCCGCCGCCGCCACCCAAAACTTCTTGCATATTGCAACGGTTGCAATGCAAATAGTTTGTGCATCGATATCGATTAACACGGCCAATCAAAAAACTTTCGTTTCGCATTTCGCCTTTCGCCTTTTGCCTTTTGCCGTTTTCCGATGACATTTAGCGGAAATACGCAATGCAAACGTAACGCTCCCCGTGACCCCTTGCTAACTAACCGAAAGCTGCGTAATTCTTTTGAACGCCTCTAACAATAGTTGGTGAAACAGTTTTCCACCTGGCACAACTTTTCCTCCTCTTGCATCCGATGTTTTTCCTGCAATCGACGTGTGCGGTGCCCTGTCAGCTCATTTCCGTTCGAGTGGAAAAAACGACAAGCAAAAGCGGAGTTCAGTAGAAATGTTTTTTTTTTTGTTTTTTTTTTTGTTTAATTTGTGGAGAGGGATGTAGGAGCCTAAAGCTCTTAATGGTTTAAAATAAAACTTTATGGAAGTGCTATTGTCCTTGGTTACAAAAAGTTTTCTATGCGCTAGCCAATACCACTTGCTGAACTACGGAAATTGAAATTTTTAAACATTTTCCCTCGATTTCGTAAAATGAAAGCACTCAAATTATTTTTGTATCTCGTGGCTACAACTTAAGCCACAAGATTTCAAAGGCTACTTAAAGTACTGAAGAGTTAGACAACAAATATCTAGACATTTACAAATTGCAATGGCCACAAGAGCAACAGATACAAATAAGCTTGAAATATCAACACAATTAAGGGCTAATACTCCGATTGATCCCCAGGAGAAGCTAATATTTCATGGATATTTAAACATCCCCTGCCCGAAAGCTTTTGAAAAACATTTACAAACATTGAGACATCAACAGTCGAAACGATTACAACCTGGTATTTCAATATCCCTTTTTTTGGCTCTGTTCTGTTGTAATTTTTTTTTTTTTTTTTGTAAGCCGCTGTTGAGTCCTGGGTTTTTTGTTTACAGTTCCCGGTTGCAGTGAGGAACGGGTTGAACTGGCCGCTGACCACAATGAAGTCGATGGAAAACCATCTAGTTAATTATGGAAAAGGGCTGAGCCACATGTATGGAGTGTGCTCCAAAGTGCACATGCGCTTTGTCCACAGAACTGGGTACACAGGCAAAAACTGAGATCGTCTTGGATTTTGGTTCCAGAAGTGCAGTTAACCTTGATTTCAAATGTTATTAGTTTAGTGTTTATATTAGTTTTTCTATTTATAATAGTTTTTGTACATTTTTTTGCGGCTACTAAACAAAGATGGTATTTCCATAGGTTCTCTCTTAGAAAACATATAGTTTGAAATTTAGATACACTCAAAAAAGCAAGATCGAAGTAAAAAGTGTATTTATACTGGAAAACAGTACATTGCTATGAAAAACTAAATATATTTTTCTCAATGGAAAATTGAGCGGATGGCCCAGAACAGAAATGAAAAGAGACCCGGTCTAAGTACGATTCCCGGTTTCGAAAACCGAACCGGACCGGACCGGGCCGGGCCGAACATGAGGAACGGTTAAAAATGCGGTTAAACCTATTATTAGGTTGAAAAAGTTTTGCGCTAAATTGAAACAAGTTGGCTGAGCGGGGTAAGGGGAAATGCGAAACCGCTGAAGGCAGCGCTCACTGTGGATAATTACAAATTGTTTTTGGCCGGTGGTGTGCTGGGTAAGGGGGTCAAGGTGGGTCAAGGGGGATCAAGGGGGTTCAAGGGGGATCAAGGGGGTGGAAGGGACTTGAAGGGGGTTGCAAGGGGGTGTGCATTTTCACACCCGCTTGCCCGCCAAAATGCAAGTCCGCGAAAAGGAAGCCGTCAATGAAAAACTTCCCTTTCAGCATTTGGGCCCCGAATTTAAGCCCTGTTTCCTTCCGTTATTATGTTGCCGTACTTGTTTTTCGCATTAAAGCTTACACAAAACGTTTAACAATTTTGCCTCACTTGTCTCTTATTCTTCTCTTTTTAATTGCAGATGCCTATCGATCAAGCCACCAGAAAGGTAAACACACAAGTATAATAAAAAAACTATGGCAATAATTTCTCTCCTCCTACTTTTGGTTTTTTTTTTTTCGTTTTTTTTTGTTTTTTTTTGCAAATATCTATTTAACGAAGGAAAAATGAACGCATCGTATCGATGCACTTGAGAGTTTTTAGAGCGAAAAGAATTTGTTTATTAAATTAATTAAACTCGAAACGGAAATTGGGCGAGCCTCGAATGGCGGAAGTCGAAAGGATATGCCAGCTAAAAAGTGCAAAAAAAAAATATGAATGCTATAAATAGAGCGTGAAAAAGGGTTTTATTTCGATAAGAAAATGGGGCGCGGCTTAACGGTGCTAACGGTAGATGGAACAGGTGTGTGTGGTTTGATTTTCGGAGATACGATATAAAAGGAAATACTCTTAACGTGCAGAAGAAATGGTTAGAGTGTAGACTAGTTTACAAACAAATGAACCGAATTTACAATTTGAAATTTTGTAATTTTTTTGGAAAAATGTTAGAGAAGTTTGCATGTGTGTATGTACCTCACATTTTCACTCTAAAACACTCTTGAGCTCAAATTCAATTGTACACATTTTGTTCAAATCAAAACTTACGTTGCAATAATTTTTTATTATATTTGTTTGCCTTTGTTGGGTGCTTCTCCAATGGCAGCCAACCAAAAAAATGATTTTTTAAAACTATACAACCTTTTTTTTTGTATATACTAAGCTCAATGCTTCCATAATTACAAAAAATTATTGACACTGACATTTCATGGACTCGTATCATTTTGTCAGCATTTTTGTGGCTCAGTCAATTTGGTTTGGCAAATGGCAAACAATTGATTTTGATCACCGTTGACAGTTCCGCACAGCTCCACTCCACCCCACTCCCTTGGCATTTTTCACCTAACTTGGCTAAAACGGCGTTTAAGCGGCACCGACCAAACGGCTCAAAGGCGAAACTCCAATGAGCCAGAGCAACGTGTTGTGACCGAGCTGGTGGGCACACCTTTCCACTTAATTGGACTAAAGCCGTACTCCGCCGAAGACTTACCAATAGCGATCCAATCCGATCCAAGCCATGGACTTGCAGACCACAACTATGCAAAACGCGCGGGCCAAGTGGAAAATGTTGGGCCAAAAGAGATGGAAACACGAATTGAAAAGCCAGGAAAAGCCAGCGATTGATTTGACTTCACTTGAGTTTAATTTGTTGCTAAATTGTTGATCGAGTGAAGAGGCGGGGAAAGGAAGAGTTTGTGGGAATAACAGCTAATAGGATTTCCTAGATGGAAATACACCTGAGAGGTACAAAAAAGTCGAAAGATAAAAGTAATTTTTTATTTTTAAAATTTTTTTAAGCAGTCATAATAAAAAAAATAGGTAGCAATATAATATATTACACGATCTTTAGTATTTATATATATAAATATGTGGGAAAACAAAACAAGTTATTTGAACAAAATAGCCAAATGAATAAAATATTCCCATAAATCTCACCAAACAGAAGGGAGAGGAGGGAGGGCGAGAATTCAAATTGATTACAAATAACTTAACACAAATTACGACAGCACATTGATTTATTATGTGGATTTCATAGGCACAGCTTTGTTGCACAGACAGACTATAATTTATGCCATCCAACAATAGCGGCGACTGTCGAATGTCTAATCACAAATGACTGACTGACAATCAAGAGATCAACTGAACCAACCGAACTCCTCGGGCTGTCAAAATGAGAGGCGGAAAAGTGTTGCAGAGAAACCAAAAAAAAAAAAGGAAAAAAAATATAATTATATTAAATTTCTAAAATAATTCGAGTCTATGATTTTCGAGGTGTGAGTTTCATTCGGGCCATTTGCATTTTGCAAATTCAGCTTAATTGAGTGTAACCGAATAACAAAAGCAACATTGTGGCGGCTGCCTCTCTGTTCAGTCTAAATGAGGCAACAATAGTTCAATTTATTTTTATAATAATTACAGAGCCTAAAACAAAACTGCACACAGTGTTCATATAAAGTCGGCATAGTCGAGCATTCTCTCAGCATCATGAGATGCGATATAGTCGCAATTGAAGGAAAGGGAAGTAGGGGCGATCTTGGGTAGAGGTAGCCATCCAATCCATTGTTGGTGTGGCATGTTTGTAACTACATTTTTTGTGGCCCGCTGTTCGGTTTTTGTTATTTTTGTTGCGAACTAAATGAGTTATTAGCACGCCAATTGAAATTGAAGCGAGTGAGGAAAAAACAAAGTATGCAAAAACAATTGCCAAGAAATCTGCATTAATGCACTGCACATATGGAGCTGTTGTTGTTGGTCAGGGGGAAATCGCAAGTCGCTGGCAGAAATTATATGGCTTTAACTTGGGGAGGAAAGAGGGCCACCCAAAATTCCTAATTACCATGTGATTTTCATTTAAATGTTTGACTTTACGAGGCATGTGCATAGAAAAATGTCCTATGTTGCCATGCGAACAATTTTTTCTGGCAATGATGCCAATGCAATGTAATTTCTTCTTGCCAATGATGCCAATTATGTTAGAGAATTGCTTAAGGCTGTCAGATCTGCGTACAAGCACATTCCTATACGAAGTTTTATTTTAACAAAGTACACAATAGTTCTAATTTATAGATAGATAGATTTTGTAATTCACAGATACTACTCTCCACTAAGAGTAGTCAAACAAATCTAGTTCGAGCTGTGTAATTTACAATTATAATTTACAATTGTCAGTGGCTACCATTAAATGACGTACTTGATCATTTGGAGAAGTACTGGGCGTAAAACCCACAATTAGCCAGGAAACATTTCGCTGAGACCTGCCCCGCGGATCTGGGGCCCCTTTCAAAACCCTTTGGCGAATGCCATGTCATTCGTTCATTTGCATGTCATTTAACAATGAATACGAAAGTCGACTGAAGTCAGCGCTGGTCTTTGTCTCGTTGAGCTCAATGCAAATTCCAATAACATTTATTGTTAACAACGAAAGAAATTCGAGCCAACTTCAAGCGCCAACTCACAAGGGGTATTCTTTCCCGGCTTCTTTCTGGGAATTTCCAATGCATATTGTCGGGTTTACGGCTTTCAGACAAATGGCAGCGGTTCGCGGGGCGAGAGTTTCAATTTGAGGCTATGGATTCAATTAACATTCTGCTCTGTGAGCACTAGGCATTGGTAATTGCAAATATGGAAATTGTGTTGCAGGCACACATTTAATTGTCGGTTACTGGGATTGCATTGATTTAGTTGCCGCCAAGCACGCTCTGCACCGCTGCAGCGGTCGCAAGGTGGCAACTTGGCCATAAATATAATTGATTTGCCAATTTGCAGCTTAGCCCCAGTTTCTGGACGTCAGACCGAATCGCCGGTGGCAGTGGGTTAAGCGCAGGGAGTGTGGATTCGCTGACAAATGCCAGGAACGCCTCTCTATTCGATCCGATTCGATCCGATTCGATTTATGCAACTGCAACTGCAACTGCAACTGCAAGTGAAGTGGCAGTGGCACATTTAGCGCAGTTTGGCGCATATTTTGGCGGCTGTTTCTCAAACGTCCCGGCCACAAGTCAATAATTAACAACTCAGCTATCCCTTGACTATTGAAATATATGCACGATCGTCGAGGAGACGCAAGGAGACCAAGACAGCTGCAAACTGGTTCCACAATTGTATGGCCAGTGCTGGCAACCGGTTCCTCCTGCCTCCTGCCTCCTGCCTCCTCCTCCTCCTCGGACTGCTATTATATTGTTTTACTTGTTTGGGCCACAGGCATTGGACACAGCGACTATTTTGACAAATTGTTGTTTATTCCTGACTAAACGTTTGTCCGCTGTGCGAAAAATGCAAAATGACATTTACGGCGAGTGACAACGGTGCATAAATTAGCAAAAATGGTCTCAGCTAGATAGATTGCAAATTTGGTCTTAACCACTGCGCATTTCGGAATGCAAAATGATTTTTAGGCTTATGCGTTTCTTATGCGTTGGCATTTAACATAGTTACTCCACATAAATCTCTCTTTTTGTCTTTCAATAATGGGTACCATAAAGGTAAGCCGAATTCGATTAGAATATTTTGGCAGAGTTTAAATATTGCATCACCATTACGTGTATGCCTAGACCCAATTATGCAATCTTTCCCGAAACTTATGCAAAAGACATATTCCAGCGAAGCGAAATTTTCTGAACCAGACAAACATGTCAGCCCGGCAGATCCAAAAACTTTCCAATGAAAGTGTTGCTCGCACAACCTCCAAACCTCCAAACCGCCAAAACACCGAGCCCACTTCCCATAAATTCATGCAACTTGACTGACAGTTTCTTGTTGCACGTCACAAATGGGGGAATGGCCTTCCCGATTGCGATTAGCGGAGCCAGAAACACTTTCGCTGGCAGAACCTGGTGCTCAGGTTCTGGGAATGATTCATGGCTAAGGAGTCCATTTATTTGACCTAAAGAGGCCAAGACAACAACTCCGACTGTTTGTGGTTAAACGTTTAATCGAGCACAATTAAAATCCAGCCGCAAATATTGGCTGTGGCAATATGTAACTGTAAATATTTGGTAGAATCGTTATCCGAATAACGCACAATTACAAATTGTTCAAGACTTTCGCCATATGCATGGCATAATTATGTACATCGTGCGCAGACGATCATTGCTACCTGTGTTTATTTGCCCATGGTCGTTGTCTTTTGGCTTCTAAGTGTACACCTGTGTACCAGCGGCAAACATGGAATGAAGATTCCATAACTTAATTGCTAGAATGAAGAGCCATCTGAATGGAGGGGTCGCTCTATTTGATCAAGACCCGGCTACCCTTCGTAGTATTTGCTGCACTTGTGTGTAGTCAGTTTTACTTAATTTTTTTTGGCGTTTTTCTTTTTGTTTTTTGTGTTTTTGGATCCGACCCCCGCGCTGCTTTGGGGCTTTTATCTCTTGTTTGTCATAACTTCCACCCGCTGCGCCAAGTTGTTTATGCCTTTTCGTTTAACTATTTGGCTTAACCTGCGTCAAGTATTTGCCAAGACTTGTTTAAATATTTCCTATACAAATAGCAGCAATTGCAGGCATAAATTACTAGAAAATTTTTATTTATAATCTTTTTTTTTCCATTCCATTCGTTCTTCTGCTCTTTGCGGGCTCACTTTATTATTGTTGCTGTTTCGCTTTGTACATTTTTTTATGGCACATAATTAAAATGGTAGCACGTTTTCGTTCTACTCGTATTTGGCTTTTTATTTGTCTCAAGTCAACGGGGTGCTCACTAAAGTGGCTTGAAGCTTAATTAGGCAATGCAACTTGCGGGCGAGAGTTGGGGTATATGGCTTAAAAATGGCATCTTTCGAAGGGGAAATTATTAAACAGCAAGATTTCTCGGTATAGTTAAACCGCGATGGATGCGTTTATGGCGAGGCAGGCTATCAAAAAATTATAGACACTTTTTGGCCAAGGAACTTGTCGGCTTTTACAGCAGCAAATGAAGCAAACGTAATTACAAAAATATTATTCTTAAATATTCTGCATGGTCTGGCACATATAAATCATGACTGAGGGCATTCAGAGGTAATTGAATACCTACCACGCTTTTGTGTGATGGAGTTAGCCATTTTAAAATGGCCAGGTTGTTAAACAATTTCCACTTTAAGCTCTCAAGTTGCGTTCAACCAAATAAATGTAGTAATAAGCGTGAAAATGCAGCAGCGCAATGCAAAACTAAGCATTGGTTCATAAAATTCACTGACTTGTGATCACTGTGCTGAGGCATTTGGCATTTTTTTGTACTGATACCACGGATATTGTCCATTGCTCTCAACCCAACAGTAACTCTCTGCAATTCCGCAGTTCCAGACCGGGTAGACCGCCCAAAAGGGGACCCGTGGGGCTTTCCCTGCCGCCCACTCATCTATCGCAGCATCCGCAGCTGAAGAAGCATCGCCTGGACAACGGGGACTATGCCTATGAAAATGGGCACATAAGTGGTGAGTAATTGAATGCAGCATACATACATACATTTACCTATAAGCAGCGATTAAGCGGGATTGGTGTGACCATATACTACGCAGTGTGACCTTGGTGTAGCATAAGCGGCATTATTTCGGTGATTTTTTTTTTTTAACCAATTCATAGCTTAAAGTTTAAAACCAAGTAGACAGCAGTCACTATTTTTTTCCTGTGCACTTCAAGTACCCACTTGCCGCTGCCAATTGCAATTCTCACACAATTGAGTGGCATGGCCGCAGGGGCCACGAATTTGGATTCGAATTGTAATGAAATCATTCCCAGATTGGCCACATAACTCGCTTTCGGGTATCGGCGGCTGTAGTGTTTCTGTATTTCTGTATCTCTGTGCTTCCCCGTCGATCGATGATCGTCGCTGCCGCCATTTGTGATTTGTGATCGCTGCTTGTTGGCTGATTACAGCTTACACTGCACAGCCAAACGAACAAAAACGAAACGGATACACAGCCACAGATACAGATACAGATACAGATACTTTGGCTACGTTCCCAGCCAAAGCTAAAGCCAGGGCCACCACAGATAAATGGCAGCCAAAGCCACAATCAACTCGAATTCCACACTGTGATTTGTGCTGGCACAGGAAATCGCATTCAGCTGAATTTCGAATTGTATCTGTGTCTGTAATTATGATAAGTACAAGCGGACTTGTATTTAATTGATTTTTACATATTTCTCTATGATCGCTCGAAGGAGAGAGAGAGTGCCGAGCTGACATTTTCGTCCACGCCTCTTTCTATTAATGTGTCCGAAACGCACAATATTGAAAGATACCCAAACCGAACCGCCACAAAAGCCCCAATCGAATGAAATCTCAAAATCTCTTTTTCTTTAGAACCATGCGCCGCCGGCGCCTTCTGAAACGAAGATGGGTCTGAAAAAACTGTTTGCTCTTTTTCGCCCCGTCATTTATGGCCATAAAGGAAAAAGGTTGCCTGAGTGAATTATTGGGCGTTGATACTTGAGTGATATTGCATTATTAATAAAAAGTGCACGGGGCATTTCTATACACTTTTTAACTGCATTTTCACATACTAGCCCTCGTTTAATTGCATTCCGAAGCCAACGAATTTTTGTTTGATTTTTTGCCAACTTACAATGTTAGCACTTTAGTGAATTTTAAAGCATTTAATCGCCCACTAAATTGTCTAAATGCACACCGCCATGTGCACATGACAATATATACATATGTACATATATAGTGCAAACAAATGACAGCCGTAGATACACACGCCAGATAGAAAAGCATCTGTATATTTGCCGTGTGCGGGTGCATTTAGTTGTTGTGTTTAGTCTGGCCGCTCAGACAATAGACAGGCCATGTACAGATATATATACATATATACATGTATATAGTATAAAACCTATATGTGGCAGACACAGACAAGAACAGGTGTCAGTTGGGCGAGCCATCAAAGTGAATGGCAAACATTGGCGAGTATGGGCCAATGGACAAGTGAATATGTACTTCGAAATTAAAATATTTAGCACAGCTCCGGATGAGATGAGAGGCACGAAATTATTGATTGTTGGTTAATGTAGTTATGGTAATAAGTTTGAAAACTCTGAGCAACTTAACTTAGCACTGTCCTGAAATATTTGAGCTTCGATAATTTCAAGATTTAAAGATAAAGGATAAATGTCAATTTGGTTAATTACATTGTTTCTTCGTATTTGATTCGTGTTCTGGCCAGATATGAAGTCGCCGCTTCTGGCCAACGGCTACAATCCGCCGCCCATCAATCACATGGCCTTCATGCAGATGAACGCCCACCATCCGGGCGCGGCGGCACTCATGTCGCCGGGAATGCCGCCCCACGGATTGCACGCCCGTCCCGAAAGCCAGATGCTCAAGGCCGCTGCCCAGAACGCCGGAATGTCGGCGGCCAATATGGACGCCCTGGCCAGATCCGGCATCTGGGAGAATTGCCGTGCCGCCTACGAGGACATCGTCAAGCATTTGGAGCGATTGCGCGAGGAGCGAACGGATGAGCGCCAGCAGGCGATGGGTGTGGCCGGTGCGGTGGTCGATCGGGTGGGCAATGTGATGGTGGCCGAGCACAAGCCCAGGGATCTCAGCTCCAGGAACTGTAAGTACCAGCCATGTAGCGCGCACATAATTACGATTATCATACCATTAGCTAGTAAGGATCCACCAGGAAGAGGACGTTCATCACAGCTGTTGCGATTTCCATCTCCTTTTGCAGGCTCTCCCACGCGCCAGAGTCCGGTGCTGAATCTGAGCAAGTCCGGCGGAAATACAGACCACGGCGGCAGCAACTGCGACGCGGGCAGCGAGCGCAGTGACTGCCACTCGGTGGCAGGATCACCGGGCAGGGGTGGCTCCCGCAGCCTGGACGAGGGCAGTCGCAGTGGCGGCGCCGGTGGCGTGGCCTCCCATGTGGGCGGCGGCATTATCGGGGTCGAGGACGATGATGAGGAGGAGGAGAACCTGAGCGACGAGAACCAATCCGAAGTCGATGAACGCTGCCTGGCCAAAGATGACGAAGGTGAGTGGACTTTACATTGATGCGAACCCACCTGTGCGATAAGCACGATAAATGTGACATTTTCTGACTGACTCCGTTCGGAATTCGTGTCTCCCCTGACAGATTTGAGTGACACGGAACGTGATAATCTGTCCACGGGCTCGGCGGCCGCTGCAGCGGCTGCAGCGGCAGCTGCCGCACACCAGCTCCACCAGCACGCCGCCTCGCACCACCACCAAACGGTGGGTCTCTCCCACCTGGGTGTGGTGCCACCACACCAGCGGGGCTCCCCCACATCGGCGGAGGCGGCCGCCGCCGCCCTTCAGCACCAAAGAGCCTTGAACTACTCCCAATTGGCCGCAGCTGCCGCAGTGGCCAATGGGGCGGCGGTGGGCGGTGGTGCGGTGGCCAATGGGCCGAACGGCGGCGGTGGCGCCCTGACCCCCAACGAGGCGCTCCTGGCCGCCAACGATGCGGCCGCCCTTGCCGGCGGTCTGGCCCTGGGCCCCTTGGGCATCGATGCCCATGCCGCCAGCCATGTGCCAGCCAGCTCCACGGAAACCCTGCTCAGGAACATCCAGAGCCTGCTCAAGGTGGCCGCCGATAATGCCAGGCAGCAGGAGCGGCAAATCAGCTACGAAAAGGGTGAGTTTCAAGTACTCCTCAGCTCTAAAATCCAGCATTATGTCTATTAATTAGAGTCCTACTTGAAGGGAAAGACTTAATATTTCCCAGTATAACTGCATGAAAATGCAAATGGGGCAACGATTTTCTTACAAAATTAACAGGGGAAAACTCAAACAAATCGCAGAAACGTGGCTTGTTTCTATTATTTTTTCCAAGCGCCAAAAATGAAGTTAATTATTTTTAGTTAATATAAAGATGAAAAAAATATTTTTGTTCCTTATTGCGAAATATACTTATATATGAATTAAAAAAACTACTTTCGTTCTGAGCACAAAATTTAAAGTGCATGATTCAACCAACTTGTTTCTATTATTTTTTCCAGCACTGCAAATAAATTACTTAGCTTATTGCAGTCACAATTACTAATTAGTCACATTACTAATCTGTAAAAACTCGCTTCAAATATACTTTTAGCTGAGCTCAAGATGGATGTTTTGAGGGAACGCGAAGTGAAGGATTCGTTGGAACGTCAGCTGGTTGATGAACGTAAACTGAGAGGTGAGTAACAGAAAAATAATATTTTATTAAAATTAATAAAAATACCTAGTTTTAAACCTTTCGAAAACAGCGCACTCTGATTTGTAGCATTTTTGGTTCCCTTTTGAGCTTGATATTTTCTATTTGCGTCGCAAAATCTTGTTGAGCCCAAAAACCGGTTCACATTAGCGTCAGTTCACTGTGAGTGGCGATCCATCCGCAGTTGGTGCACCAAATCAGTCCTGACACTGCGCCACATTCACATCCATGTCCACATTTAGCTCCAGATTCAGATTCAGATGCTGATTCAGATTCATACTCCCATCCCGGCCAGCTCCTTGGCTCGCCCTATGCCGATTCCGACTCCAATCGGGCGCACTTAATGCAATCTGACTCAAATGACAATGACACCTGATATGCCGACTGTCTGCCCATGTACCCCTCTTAACCCCTTGGCCCCCTTAACCCCGTGCACTCTGGTGGTCGTCGCCAGGTTGCGGCCAAAAACGAAAAAAAAGCATGTACAAGTATAAAGGGTTTAAGGCTCAGGCTGCCGTTCTGTCTCCGGGCCTTTTTCAACAGAAATCACAATTCAAATGAATTTAATATCATTTCATTATTTAGTTACACTCGAATGATTGGCAAAAAGTAGCCAAACAAAAATGTGGAGCGAGCTGGAGTTGGGAACTGGAATCCGAGTTGCACATACAGAAATCCTTTAATTGGTTGTTGTTCTGGCCTTTCCTTGTGACGACTTCTTGAAAATACCATATAAGGGTTGTCAGGGGTTAAGGGTTGATTACCTCTCGAAAAGGCAACGATGGTGAAGAACTAAGCCTAATTGAGAGAAAAGTTCTGAAAACAGAGTCCACTCAACCAATTAACCAAACTTAAGACCGAAAGAAGCTTTATATGAATGGAAATGGGTATTGGTAATGTCTGTTTCAACTTTAAAAATAATAGGTCGAAATTTGAGATATGTAAAATTGAAAAAGAACTAGTTTAAAGTAATTTGCTAATGACCCTATTGTGGCCAATTGAAACCGCTAATTTTTCAATTGCACATTTCAAAAACTGATACACATATCGGCGCCCACTTTGTAATCAATAATCGCAGTTCATTACGCTTACAACTACAGAAGTTTGCAAACCTAAAATTTCGAAGCCGCCAATGAGCCACCCAAAAAGCGGAGCTCCACCCAAAAAAATAAAAAACGAGAACAGCTGAATTACAATGCGAAAACAAAGGGAACCAGGGCAGACTATAATTGCCCACCGACTGACCGACCCGGCCATAACTTAATCTCCGCCTTTCCCCTTACTTTGTTGGAAAATTATGGAGGGAAATGCCGCACATAAATCAGCAAACGAAAACCGACAAAAAATTGCATGCAACTATGCAAAATGCCACACAGGCACATAGACATCTAATTGCAACTAATAATAACGCCGGCGATAAAATCGCAGCCATGTACGGGCCTGAGTTTCCACTTTTCCAGTTTCGAGCTTCGAGTTTCGAGTTCAGAACATGGCAACAATTGGCCATTTGCAATGGGGGAGCGTGGGTGCCGGCGTTTTGGAATAGCACAAAATCGCATCGCATCGCATCGAATCGAATCGAATGGAATCGAATGGAATGGAGGGCAATGCCATCAGCCGATCCTCGCTGAAATTCAATATGCCTGCAACAGTTTTGGATTTGATTTGAGGTTGATTTTGTGGCTCCACCCTCAAAACGGCTGTCACCACGCTTCATCGCATCCATCCACATCGATGCACTCGCAGAAATTGTGCGCAGCAACCACAAATTCATCTCAAAATCAAACAACTTTTTAAGCTATGGGGAAAATATTCAAAATAATTTTGCTACATTTTTGCAGATTTAGAAGCGCTTGTTTAATATCAAACTTATGTTTAAACAAAATTTTTTAAACAGCTAAGGTTTTTGAAATTTTGAAGAGCCAGGAAAACTACAAAGCAGATTTTTGTACTTCCCTCAATATTTTCCCAATTTATTTGTTTCTGTGCACCTTTTCTATGGCTCGCGATCTGGAATGATTGCAAGTCAGGATCAATAAACATAATTGCGCCCACACACACGGCCGGATGCGCACTTGAATTGGCACAGGCAACGAGCCAGATAACTAAGGCCAGAACCAAAACCAAACCAGAACCCAAACCCAATCCCAAACCCAAAGCCACAGCCCGATCGAAAACCAGAACCGAGAGAGACCCAGAATCGTTTGAATCGATCAAATTACCAGTTACCAGTCCGAGATCTCCTCACGATCTATCTATCGCTCACTTGGAGCTGGAGTATTTGCTGTTGTTCTGTTCCTTTCCTATCTCCTGACATTTCCGTGGAAGGAATTTCGTGTTAATGCTCGCATCATGAACTGTGCAGAATGGTGCTACTTTCGCCATCTGTCAGTTTGCAAACGCAGTTAGATACGCAGAAAGATACGTATTTGCGAAGTAATGATCCCAGTTTCGCCTAGTGCCTGATATTATTTATATAATTTAGTATGTTTATTTAGTGTAATTTTCTCTGTTTTCTGCCCATTTCAGTGCTCTACCAGAAGCGCTTCCGACGCGAGCGGAAGATCCGCATCCGCTATCAGCAGCAACTTGGCGGTGGCAGCGGCGCTGTGAAGGGCAGTCCGAATGCCAATGGGAGCGGGGGCGGTGGATCGGGATCGGCGTGCAGTGAGTCGGAGGCGTGTGGCGGCGGTGGCGGTGATCCCAAGTGCAACAACAACAACAACAACAATAATAATAACAACAACAATAACAATAGTAACAGCAGCAGCCACGGCGGCGACGCGGAGACAATGAAAGGTGAGTTTCGGGGTCAAGGACATGCATCACACATGGCTAACAGACCACCTACAGGTGGTGATCAGTGGAGCCAAAGACCAATCAGATATTGATTTATATAATAGTAGCAAAAACGCGACTAAAGTGCTTAAAATAATACAGCAAGCCGCTATAAATTTGTTCAGCAACAAAGTAAGACACTGGTTTTTAAAGCTAGCCTAGGTTTTATAAAATGGCTTAAGCCACGCCCACGCTTTTTAACCAACACAGCGCCCTCTTCTATTGACCATCTTCCGCAGAAAACGATGCTGGCAGCGAAAAATCGGACAAGTCGCTGGCCTCCAATTCATCCTGTGATGTGACCGCCGGACATTCGGCTGGCTCCGTATCCGGTTCCATATCCGCCGGCCTCAACTGCCCGGACTCCCCCACCCACTTCAAACGGGAGCCGCACTCCGATCACGAGGGCTCCGTGGAGCGCCAACCGCGATCCTCAGCCGCCTCACTGGCCGCCCACGACGAGGACAACTCAAAAAGGTATGTGGAGTATCCATTATCCAACTCCTCAAACTTTAGCTTTTTGTATCTGCAAAATATGCATTTAGCTGTGCAAGATATTTTAGAAATGCATAGATAATACTCGATAAACATTTTGCACTTACTTATGTTTACCCAGATGCGGCAGCCGCGATCGGGACGAGCGACCGCCCAGCGGATCAGCTGCCTCTGTTGCAGCAGAGGGCAGCCTGGCTGCTGCAGCAGCGGCCGCCGCAGCAGCAGCGGCAGCAGCAGCCACCAATGGAAAGGGTCCGTGGAGCTATCCCGGCATCGACCTGATGGCCACCGGCGCCTTCTGGCAGAACTATTCCGGTGAGTTGAGACCCGATACACACGACGTTGATTTAGATTGCAGGGTACATTCCAGTTGAGTAATACAAAAATGCTGAATTGTGTAATTTCTCTAATTCAGCTCATAGTCGTAGTTCTATAATTCATCTCGTAATCTTATTTCCATAATTCATCTCACAGTCTTGTTTCTATAATTCAGCTCAAAGTTTATTTCTCTAATTCAGCTCATAGTCATATTTCTATAATTCAGCTCATTTTTTTTCTATAATTCAGCTCAAAGTCTTATTTTTATAATTCAGCTCAAAGATTATTTCTATAATTCACCTCATGGTATTATTTCTATTATTCAGCTCTGTCTTATTTCTATAATTCAGCTAATAGTCTTATTTCTATAATTCAGCTAATAGTCGTATTTCTATAATTCAGCTCATAGTCTTATTTCTATAATTCAGCTCATAGTCGTATTTCTCGAATTCAGCTCATAATCTTTTTTCTGTAATTCCTCTGATAGTCTTATTTCTCTAATTCAGTTTATTTCTATAATTCAGTTTATTTCTATAATTCAGCTCATAGTCGTATTTATATAATACATCTCATACTCTTATTTCTATGATTCAGCTCAAAGTCATATTTCTCTAATTCAGCTCATAGTCGTATATCTATAATTCACATCAAGCTAATTCCCTTAAGGGAATTAAGAAATGCAAATGTTCCTGGGCAGCTTAGAATGATTACTCAAGCCCACATGACATCCTTAAAATGTATCTAAACTAAGGTTCCCCTTCTCCCGCTGATCTCCTTGCAGAATCCCTGGCCCAAGAGCTGGAAATGGAGCGCAAGAGCCGTGCCGCCAACGCCGAGCGGGATGTGAAAAGTCCGCTGTCGGAACGGCCGACGGCTTACTACAAGAACTCCGTGCTCTTCGGCAGCGCCAACTGAACACCTGGACAGGTGAGGTGGTGAGGTGGCAAGGTGCAAGGTGCAAGGTGGCAAGGATTTATTTGATCTCAGAGTGCAATCCCAAACGGCGACGGCTCTTGAGTGGGAGTGGATCGATGAAGTGAAAGTGTGTACATACCTAAGATGAAAGATGAATGAGGAATGATGAATGAGGAATGATGCAAAGTAGGAGTTTTGAGAACGTTGCAAGCAGAACGTGGCAGCGGCCATTTTGTACATAGAGAAAGTAGTGAAAAGATGCAGAACTTCCGATATCCCTTATAGAGTGCTTAGATGCGTTAGCGAGCAGTTTGTAAGCTTATAGTAACGTTGTATATATAGCAGCCGATACGAAAGACTTTTTAATGAATTGAAAAACGATAAGCTGAACACCCGTCAAAATAAGGCAGTTGGGCATACCTAGCATTTAACTTCCCCGAAAAGAAACCATTTTTAGCATTGCTTATAAACCCTTTACGATGTAGCTTCAATTCGAGTATATTAATGTAACAGAAATATATAATATATAAAGTAATACGTAGATATTTAGGAAGTACAGAAATAAATCGAACGAGCCGCTTTTTAGTGTTTTAAATGATGGAAGCAAATTTGATTTATTTTACGATGTAGTTTTTCTATTGATAAGCATTTAATTTATTCACTAGCCTAGCAGGAGTGCAGTAAGTCCGTAATACTAAAAATTAGCATATACAAAAAAAATTAACTTCAAGTATTTCACTTGCCTAGGCGATAAACAATAATTCATATTATATATATCAAATAAAAAAATATTAATAATAAATGCTACACAAAAGAAAATTGTATGCTCGTTGCAAAAGCAAAACAAAAAAACATAATGAAGGAAAAATGATCAAAAATTGACATTAAAAACTATTTAAACGCTTCATATGCTATTATATATACACCCTATATATATACACACATTAACTTTAGTCATAACAATAGTCAAAGAACAAATAATTCCGCGAATCAGCAAACAACAATAACGGTTCAAATATTGTGCAACATCTCGCCGCTCGCAGTGAAAACACAGAAATTATTATAATAAATACGATTAAAATAATACAGCAGCCGACAACCGACAGACAAAACCAACACCAACAACCAAGCGAAAAAGTTTAAAAATAATATATAATAATAAATTATTATTGCAAAAATAATAAAGCGACCAACGGTGTTTTTATTTATTTTTGGAGGTGTCTCTGCGTTCACCAAAATGTGGGCCGCAATTAATGTGTGAAGTGCTGGATTAAATTGTTGCATATTTTTTGACGGCCTTTTAAGCTTGAAAATATTTTAAAGGAACTTCGATGGTAAGTAACCTACAGGGTAAATTTCATCTAAGTTCATTTGCCAATTATTTGGGAAACTGGAAACGGATTTTGAATACTAAACATAACAGGAAGCGCTTATATTGCTGATTTCTTGAATTAATGATCCGAAAACTTTATCTTTGCTTAATTGCTGTCTATGGAAATGGCTTTATGCCTCGCAGATTAATTTATTGTGTGCGGGAAACTCAATTTGGTCTAACATATGCCAGTCTATGCGATTTTAGCATTTAATTATAGCACCAGGCAGTCGTTCATCAGAGGAGCGTGAGATACCCGCAAAAAATTTGAGATACGAGAACCAATAGATCAGCGAACCCGGCAAATTCTTGTTGTGTTTTTTATTTTTATTTTTTTTTTTATTTTTATTATCTGACCATCAGCTGCGAGGCGCGCGTTTGGACAGTTATCGATCCAGAAACCATAAAATGTATACGCCAGATGATGATTTATGCGTCTGGCTCAAGGGGATCAAATCACTCCGGATCAGCTCTCAATCTGTTAGTGGCGCGAAGAGACCGCGCGGAATCGGATTCAGAAACAGAAACTGCATATTGTGATTATGATTATTGGTAAATTATATTTAATTTACAGTTAAACGATCACGTATGTACGCCAAAGGCTCCGAAACATCTTTCGCTCGATCTGCGAACTGCGAAACACACTCCAAAAATACCTTTCCGACATGACCTCAATTATCGATTTAACTTTATTATTGGTTTTGATTTGGACTTTTTGGTTTTCGGGGCGCATCTCCGCAAAAAGTTGAAATTAAAAGGAATGCTGTTGATTGCTATGTTCGTCCCGCGATCCTCAAAAAAAGGGCAACACAATGTATGGGAGATACATATGTGTCGCTGTATCTGGAGCATTAGGTGGGCAGGTCGCTTAATTCTCGTTAATTTCTCACTGGCAACGTGCAGCGTTTAGCTGATTGCGGGTTTCCCAGTCGGATTGCTGCTCCTTGTGCCCCAACCAGTCGGCAACTAAATTGTGGCAATCATATTTTGCGTTAAATGCATTCATTTTCGGTTTTATTGAAGGGTCCTCGCCCATATACAACTGTTATTTCGCCAGTTGGCTGGAACTGGTTGACAATAAATCAGATTTATTGGCTGGGCGTCCTTTCGACCAGTTATAACTGGGTTAATCATGGGAACGCGGGCCAAACCGCACTTAAGGCCACTTCTAGGCTATCGCAGTGTATATAATGTAACTAAATTCCTACAGAATCACTTCCGTCTCACTTAATGCCTAACAAGAGTTTGAGAACCCTACACATGAGCCGCCATAGATCATCTTTGGAACATCTAACAGCTCTTTCATTGTAGCCCTTGTCAGGCCTCATAGATCATGATTCTCCTCCCGGATCGTGGATCGTGTATGCTGTTGACAAGCAACTGTCACCACCAGCGGCCCAGGCGCCATATTGTTGGAGCTGCACTTCGAGTTCCACCTTCCCCAACCTCGAGTCCATCCAGTTTACCCCTGGGCACAAGAACAGCGGCCCCAACTGCCTGGCAGGCAATTTCCACACACAAGTAAGCCGCCAATTTGGCCCCCTCCATAGGGCAGTTAGTCCCTAGACCAGACGGCCAAAACAAGGCAAGCGAAACCCGCCAGACACTACGTTACGTCAACTCTGCAGACACGTGAACATGGCCACTGTGGAATGATTCCTCAAAACTATACAACAAATATTCGAATTGTGTATATTTTCTGCAATTTAATGTAGAGCTGTTTTTGAAAATTTCTTACACATGTATATTTAATAGAAAACACATAATAGCTGCTTTAAATGTTAACCCTACATTTGCTATCCTAAAATGATCATAACTATTTGATGTCTTATTATAACTGAAAAGGGAAGTGGAATATGTGTTTATTTTTGTTTGATTAGCTTGGCAAACGAATTAGTTAGTTGCTTACAATAAAGCAACTGTAAATGGGGTAGATACATTTAGTTTAGATACATCTGGTAAACCCCAAACTATTTCACCAATCATTGGTGTTGAGCCCACGGTGCTGGGCTGGCTATAAAACTAGGCTTCCCTGGGTTGCATCTTCCTTCGATGAGTCGCTGGTTATAAATCAGTTTGCGCGGCTTTTAATAAATTGTAATTGAGTCGCGAGTCGCGTCTGCAGCTCATAGATACATTTGTATCTGCTGCTTAGGTGCTTAGTTCGCTGTGGCTTGTATCTTTAGCTTTTAGCTTTTGGCTGCGATTGCGATCGCGTGTGGGAATGCAAAGGCGAATCTTGGGCCCATACGATCCCATTCGAGGCGATCCTTATAAAGCAGGCTGCTGCTAAGTTAACCCCTTTGTTGTTGTTGCTGCTGCTGTTGTTGTTATTGTTGCATGTTGTATACATGGCACTTTGCCGGCTGTCGCCACTTCGGTTGTTCGGCTGTTCGGTTGTTTGGTTGTTTGGCTGTTTGGCTGTTTGGCTGTTCAGAACCCCTGCCCTTTTCCCCCGCCAGCATCATGCTCGAAAATCACGTAATGAAAAATGTTTTGTGCGCAATTTTTCTTTTCATTTGTATCGTGCCTCTCCAGCTTGCAAAAAGAAGCTGAAAAAAAAAAGTAATGTTTTGTTTCGCTGTTTGTGTGTGTCGAGCAGCAATAAAACCCATTGAACACGAGTTGCTTTCGAGGCAACATGAACAATTAATGCAACATATGTTAGCGGGCCGCAGAAACCGCAAAGCGAGATCTGCAGCAAGATGATCCTTTATGCATTTAATGGCCGGCCAAACAAATCGAATTAGTTGCCAACGCTCGAGGCTGGCAACACGCGAGCGGAACTAGCCAAATAGAACTTTGGCATTTGATTCAGAGTAAATACTAGAGGGCTGCGCAAGAACTGCTGCTACTCTTTTTCATGTGCTCAAAAAGATATTTTCTAAAAATGATTTGAGATTGATAGAGCTGGTTTAGTTTGTTTCGACAACTTAAAAGCAATTAAGTAAATATTAGCTGTTAGATTCAGAGATACTAATCAGAACCATCTAAAAATATCCAACAAAAGTCTTACATCCTCGTATGCTCTGTACCAAGCAAAGATTTCACTAAGCCCTCTTGCAATAGGGTATTTAAAATTAATTTCATAACAAAGATTACGGGTTACACCCCCAAAAGCCAAGCTAACTCAGCTTTTCCCCATTCAACTACGATATCCACCTCTAATAGTTACAACTAGACTTTTTCTAATTGAAACTTTTTTGCAATCGAAAAAACCGCAAATAGTTCGATCGATTGCCAAGATACGAATTAACCCAACAGATACGCAGCTGCAATCACACCGATTGCCAATGCATATGAAAAATCGTACTTTTAATTGTATCTTCAGCCCCGAACCGGCCCAGTCCAATCCATTGGCTATGGATAATCCATAGTCAGTAGACTGTAGGCAACCAGGCAACCTGCAGCTCCTCATCGCATCTTTAATTGCTTCGCTGCGGAGGAGAGCTCGTATTTGTTTTAAGACTTTTGGGCGGGCAATTTATGGCTTATCATTTGTTGTGCTTTTAATTCTGTTTTCCATTTCTCAGGTGGGTGTGATGAGCGCGGCGGAGGATGGGCCCCAATGAAATGGGTGGGGATGTCTGGTGAGCAGGTGGAATTTCTTGGGCTATGGGTCAGCAGGAATGGCCAACGGCAATGCTGAAGGTACGTCAGATTCCTATGAGTTAAAGCAGGTGCTTAAATTGGGTGGAGGATGATGTTTTTAATACTTTGTGGTATCTTAAATCATAGACTTTGATATCAAAAATCAAGCAGCGCGAACGTATCATTGTATTGAAGTTGGATCAATATTTCTGGGATTTTTTCTCAAAGACATCCATCCTTTTAATACCCTCTTTATAGGGTATATATGCCCCTTAAACAGCACGATATCGACAGGTGCTTCTGTGGCGTTTAATCTACCTTTCCTACAAGCGTCTTGCGAATTCTTTGTCAATTCGAATGCAATTTGAACAGAAAAAACGAGAACAGAGGAAACCCGCAGAAGCCGCAGAACCAAAATCCGCTGGGTACAAACAAAAAGATGGTTCTTTGTTACTCAAGAGCGGAAAAGAATGGGCAGCAGGGGCAAAAAATGGGAAAAAATTATTTCATAAATCCCTGAGTGGCTCTCCGGCGATTCTAATGCACTCAGGCAAGAAACGAGGGGAGTTCTTGGCACTGCCTTTGTGTATTATGGAAGGGATAACTACTTATAAATGTGGCAACAACATGCAACTATCTGTCGAAGGAAAAAAGATTAGCGAAAGGCTTACATAACATACGTGGATGCGGTTTGATTTTGAATTTTTTCTGGCTCGCAGACAGCTGACACAGATATAGATACTTTGCAAACTATCCACCGAATGATAACAACAAGCGCTCTGAAATTCGTTTTCGGTTGAGGAAGCGCCAGCATGCCGGCTGACAATTCAAGTGGAATTTTTTTACTTTTATATATTTCTTTTCAGATTTCTTCCTTTTTTGTTGCAGTAGTAGTAGTTGCTGAGCGGTTATCCGATATTATTTCGCTAATTCGATACTTTTATTTCAAGCAAACGGGTAGGTAGGTACCCTCTCTCCTTTGCATAATTTTTCATGATTTTTCTTATTATGATCATTTTGCGGGCGAAAAAAAAGAAGAAAAATATAATATACATTTTATGCGAATGCAATCTGATCCGTTATTTATGTGCCACATAATATGTGTAGTATGGTCTGCGGGTCGTTCCCTGCACCGAATATAAACCGTTATGTGGGCGCAGACCACACATTATGTTAATCATAATTTTCTTTCTTTTTTAATATCATCTT